ACAGTATGTTTTATTAGCAAAGGCTACTGAGTGTTTATTTTCAGTTTTATCCATACATTGCAGCTGAAGACCTACACCCAAACATCAGGCATCTCATCTGAGACTAAATCCTGCCTTTTCTGCACACAATCAGGATCTGTGCCAATCGCTCTAGGAAGAAGAGCTAAATAGTTAATGTGGTTTATTTTTAACCACTCCTTTGTTTTAGAATTCTATCTCATTCTTGAACTGCTTCTATGTCACCATGACCTCTCCCGGCTCAGCAGGCACAGTTGAGGTGCGTCCTTCAGTCCTAGCCTAGGGCTTTGGACAAGCAAGATGCTGCGCTGGCTCGTTGCCTTTTCTCTCCCAGTGTTTATACAACCCAGACTTATTACATGCTCTGTCATTTTGTTACTCAGCTGGCTTTGCTTTGAGAATTAGGTAAACATCATACATTCCATCACACAATTTTGGACTCAATCTTACTTTATAATGATGTTAATGTTTATTGTACAGAGCTAGATGCCTTTGTATATTTTAGCATTTTCTTTTAGTTCCCAGAATGCAAAAACTGACATCAGAATCAGGGTTTTTTTCTTTTTTCTTTTGGTGATTGAAGACATCAAGCACTGTAAGAACATTGAAATCTCAATCTGATTAGGATCAAAATTCCTCAGGATCAAAACACTTCTTTTCCTCCCCCTACAGTTTCACTAATTGTGTGCTACTTGACATTGTGGAGTTATTCCGCAGCGTGAGAGCTAAATATGGGAAGTGTATTTTACTGTGCAGCTCATTCTGTTTGTGTTTTCATGTGTTTAAGGTTATTGAAAGAATTCGACATTCCAGGTCGTGTAGGCCTTAAAGGCGTGAACTCATGGTTAGGAAGCTAAATCCTAAAACGATGGCCAGGTGTCAATATGAAGTGCTGGAAAGAGGCACAGGGTTGAAAGCACACTTCTCTATTTATTAGTTGGCAAGATATCAGAAAAATTAGGAGAACAGCACAATAGCGAATGGTAGAACCGTTTATTTCTCACTCTCAAACTATTCTGGCTACTGAAAGTGAGCGAAGTCGGTCGGAGAGAATGACCTCCAACATATTCGTTGGGGACCTTCGCTGTGCGGGAACAGATGAACTGCCCTAGCTCATGGTGCCTGGGGAATTGTTTCTTCGGGCTGAAAAGCAAATCCTAGACAGAGTGGTGTTTCCCAAAGAACAGCCAAGGAAGGCAAGCTTGTTTATTGGTTGGTGTTTTAGTCAGCCTTAGGTTTCTGAATTAGACCTCAATTAAGACCCTAGAAGGAAAGAGCAACCCCCACCCCCATCCACACACCCCACCTCAACACGAACACACATGCTCTATGACGGTCTTTTATAAGCAGTATGTTATTGTTAAGTCTGCATCTCTGACCTATATACTGGTGCAAAATCATTTCTATCCCTGGCTTCCTTCAAAGGTATCCTGACTTTTTCCATTTCCTCAGCATTCCCAGCGACAAGGGTTTTCCTTTCAATTAACTGAAGAGCCATCTGCGTCCATGATACATGCCACCCATTCATTCCTAGCCACAGGTGTCTTCCTTCCCTAAGTCCCTGGTGCGCAGGGCAGGCAATGGTGGGCAAACTCTTCCCAGAGCCCGGGTTGCTACACACACAATTTGATATCACAGGGCACGTCAGGGCTGTACTGCACAGGTGCAAACACTGCACAAGATGTTCACCTTAGAGACTTCAGTGCCCGAGTTTGAAATGAGCAAACAATGGCAGCCAGAAGACAGATCCGAACCACCTCTCTTTGGCTATGGCAAGGAAAGGGAGAAGCACTAAGTACAAAGGCCAGCGGGCTGAGTTTTATTACAAAGCAAAGCAAAACAAAACAATAAAACCCCCAACGCTTCCAGCTGTAGTATCTCATTGTGTTATTTCACATATATTTACAACCAGAGATCAGAATCAGGCTCAGAACCTTCTAGGAATATAGGTCCAGAGCCCTGGAGGCTGTAGTAGGTTACATGGCTAACCACAAGGTCAGCTGTTCAAAACCATTAGCAGCTCAGTGGAAGAAAGATGCATTTTACTCCCGTAAAAATTACAATCTCAGTAAAAACAGTCTCAGAAACTCTGAGGGGCAGCTGGACCTTGCCCTACAGGGTTGTGATGAGTCAGAAGTGACTTGATGCTAGGGAGATTTTTCTTTTTCTGAGAAGAATATAAGTAGCCAGGACCCCCACTTCTCTATGAAGACGACCCTAGTGCACAGTTATACAGAGAACCTGTGTTTGGTGGAAACAGGAGGCTTGCTGCTTGGTGGCTCACCAAATTGGTGCTGCTTGCCTTACAGGTGCTTGGATCCCTCCCGGGCACCGTGTAAACAGGTCGGTTGAGCCAACGGAGGGCAAACTGCATTAGGACAAGGATGTGAGAGTTCGTGCTTCGACCTTGCTGGTCTTAGACTTGCTGGTCTGTCCTTGCTTAGACGCCACACAAGGTGCTTGGGACTTCAGCCTGGGGGTCAGGAGATGGGCACTGGCCTCAGAGACCTTTGATTACCTTCTCAGTCCCAGGAGTCAGAGCCTGGAGGTACCTTTTTTCTCTGCCTAAACCCTCCGTGGGCAACCAGCCAGTGGCACTGCCTTCGTGGTCGACTGTGCCCACAGGAGGGCTGTGGCGACTTCCACCAGACCGGCTCATCCCACCCCAGTTCTGTGACTAGCCAAGCAGAAATGTTAATGATGCTCCCGGCCTATTTGAGCTTGTTTTCTTCCCACATGTATTTTGAAATGGAGACCAGAAACTTCCGAGCTGCTCTCTAGGAAATGAAAGGGTTTAGAAAACATCTAAAGACCAAAATTCTCTCCCACCACTTCAGGGGAGAGAAAGCGAGCGAGCGCGAGAGACCACAAAAATTCAGGGCAAGTGCCTAAAGATGCAGCAATTTCTCTGGGCCCGAGGCCCAACTTTCAGTTTAACACAAGGTGAAGTGATTTATGGTTCCGTTTTTTTTCCCCACTGCATATTGACTGTCATCTGTAACGTAAACACTAAACTCAAGCAATACCAGCCTGGGCTCTACCCTCAGGCACGAGGTACTCACGGTCCAAGTGACTGTGCCTGATGCCCTCGACGTCTTCGGCGTGGATGAAGTGGTAACATCTCTTCCCTACGATGTCTACCGGGGTCAGGTCCATGTAATCGCTAATCCTACAAAGACAAGAGCGCAAGCTGGGCTTCAGAAAGGGGGCAAACTTCAACACGATCAGATTCACTGACACACTCATTGTAACGCGGGAACTGGAAGGGAGAGGGAAACCCCCTCAGCAGTCAACATCTGATAGACTTTGTTACAAAGTAGGGAATGTTGCAAGATCAAGCACTGGCATAGAAATCATTGGATAGGTTTTTCCTTTTCTTATTTTGGCATGAGCATGCACGTTTAGACAACACAATTCCATAAAACGCATGAGAATCAATCACAATGCAAGATCCTCATTTGGGGCCAAGATAACTCAAGGTTACATAATAAAATAAAACCATGTTATGTTTATACCAAATGATTAGAGACACCTTTCATTTAAACAGATTGGTCTTCTATTGGGTATTCCCATGAAAAAGCGCCGCAACTGTTTCTTGGCACAAAGTCCAAATTGGCATTTCAAGGGATCTGATTTAAATGCGGAGACACACAGATGCCTGGGGGCATTATCTTTGAGTCCTAGTCATTTGGGAGCTCAGCTTTCAGGCCTGGTCCTTTAACTGGTACCGTGCAGTGCATTCCACACAGACTTTTAAACCCTCGCAGGAGTTCTCGCAGGCTTCTGCTCTGCGGTACGTGTGTGCAAGCCTCTGTTGCTGATTGTCCAGGAGCCAGTGTCCTCAGGCGGGAGCACAGAAACACACAACAGAGCGGGGAAAGCATGTTGGGGGACTCTGCCTGGTTTACACAAACACCCCAAGATCCCGATTGCCCTCCTCCTGGTCTAAGTGCCGCTTCGAGTGGGTCAGTGCAAGCTAGGAGGATATATTTTAAATTTTAATTTATTCCCTTTTACTGTCCTTTTTATAATTGATGATCTACTCAAACGCGAAGCGAATCTTTAGACGCGAGACTCTGAAGAAACCCATGCGCATGTTCTTGAGGAGAAAGAGTCTAGCTCTCAAAGCCGGGGAAATGAGAAACAAAAACGGAATCATATGGACTATCGTTAACATCCACTACTCCGTGAGTGAATTTCTCCAGCAATTTAATTAGCTTTTGGCATCAAAACTTTTGGCAAAACTCGCCTTCTTGGTAAGATAAGACTAATTGGAGAAATAAAAAGGAGTGTTTTCGAATGATTCCAAGGTTCTCTGGTACAAAAACAGATTAGCTGGTGTTTTCCTAAAACCATTAGTTGTTTCCAAGCACAGTGTATACCCCTTTCTGAGATGTCATTAAAAGACCCTCCGTGGTGTTTCTGAAAGTTTCCAGCTCCTCTGAAAGCATCAGATGTCTGCTTTGCCGGAGGCTGTCCTGGGGACGCCAGAGGAGAAGGGGCCATCGAGGCAAGGCCGGAGCTGTCATTTCCAGCGAACAATTCCCTAATTAAATAATAAACCCCAGGAAAAAGACCCTCTGGTCTTCAGGGAAGACCTTTTTTGCGTTTGTTCTCTATTTGAATTAGATCCTTCAAAACAAGTTGCCAAAGCCCCTTTAGCACCAGAGCCTGTGACCATGGGCAGCACAGCCCCATTCAGGCATCTCCCCCGATGGGTAGACAGGACTGGCACTGTCCAGTGACCCACATCAGGGTCAGAATTCTGGGGCCGCCTCTTTCTCTGAGCCTCAGTTTCCTTATCTGTAAAACATGTGAGGGGTTGGTGAGAGGATTCATGAATGAAAGGAAGTGGATTTAGCTGACTGCCTGGCACGCGGTGTGCTTTTCTGTCGGATCAAATCTGCAATTACCTTTAATATGGGTCTTTTTCGTAATTACTATCATCTCCAGTTGGGAAATAATGCTGTATTGTATACGCTAATGAGGGGTTGTGGGAAGCATTTTTTTTTTTAATGGGAAGAAAAAGGCTAAAAGTGGGTCGCAGAAAATGATCTCAATTACTAGAGTGGCACCCACAGACACTCATGTCCATGGAGCGTGTCGGAAGAATCAATCGATCTGTTATCATAGGAAGAAAAATTAGGGCTGGTATTGGGAAGAACTATTATTGGGAATTAGGCAAATAAGACGAGTCTTTGGTTTTGTTTTTTTAAGGAGTACTGATAGCAAATCTAAATCAAGGAAGTGGACATTTCTTGAGCTTTAGAAAATTGTACTTTTTTGTACAATTGTACACTTTTGAGGCAGTGAAGCCACGGTTCATTCCCGGACTCTTCACTCGGCTTCTCTGGGTTGGAGCTACTTCTCTAGCACGCTCAGCTTGCAGTCAGAGAATGAACTGCTTTGCTGGCTGTAATGGTGACCTTCCCTGGGCCCATAGCCCTGCAAGGTCCCCTTCAGAGGGAGTTCTGTTGGCTCCCTGCCCTTCAGCCAGGCTTCTGAAGGGAGAGAAAGAGACAAGGAATGGAGAGAGAGACCCCACAGTATGGGACTAAGTACATGGCTTTTGAACGTCTCAGACTCTGCTTCAGACCTTGTCTCCAAGCAAGTCACTTCCTTCCCCCTAAGCCTGAGGTTCCTGAGGGCTGGGGAGATGCAGTGGTGCCTGCCTCATGGAACCGTTGGGAAGACTGAATGAGCCGGTTCCTAGAGTATCACCCAAACAAGCTGACTGCCATGAAGCCCAGGCTGAGTCGTGGTGACCCTGGATGACAGCTTAGAATTGCCTGCCCCACATGGGTTCCTTAAACTCATTATGGGGGTAGACAGTCTCACCTTTCTTTCTAGGAGTGGCAGGTGTTTTCAAACTGCTGCCCCGCCCCCCCTCTATGAACAGCTCAATGAGTAACCACTATGACAAAAGGGCTCCCCAGGGCATCATTTAGCCCCTAGAAATAGTCAATAAAAGCGAGCTGGCATTATGATCAGCATCCCTGGCTGATAAGAATGGTTAATAGGCTCACCTATTGATAACCTAAAGGTTGGAAGTTCAAGTCCACCCAGAGGCATCTCAGAAGAAAGGCCTGGTTATCGACTTGCAAACAATCAGCCCTTGGAAACCCTACAGAGCACTGTTCTTTGCGGACACACGCGGCATTGCCGCAACCAGCGAGGCTGGCCGGCCCCAGGGATTCCCGCCGGCGAACTCGTCGTTCCTGGAGTTGTGTGTTCTCAGGCCAAGACATTAAAAGTCTTAACAAACACTTTTGTAAGGGGGAAGCCGATAGAGTCACTTATAAACCAATGAGGGATTCACAGGCTCAGACACCCTAGGGAGCAGTTCTATTCTGTCGAAATAAAGCGTGGACGGTGGGGGTGGGTTACCAAATCATGACGATAGGTTCCTGATTAATTTCTACTCACTGAACACTACTAGCTCAGGTGGTGGGCTATCTTTTCCCACTGGTTAATGCTTGCCTTTTGAATGGCATTCTTGATTGGAAATGTCGGCAGTTTTTCACGTGGTCTCCTTGTTAGCTCTTCCGTATGGCGTGCAAGCGGGGGCTTTCTGTCTGCCTCTTGGCTGGCTTCTGGAGAGGTCCATCCCCCAAGCCTCTTGACCACCCTGTGCTCTGGTTCCCCGTGGTGTCCCAGGGTTCGCCAACATGTACTGTCTCCCTACCCAAACATCTATGCCATAAAAGCGTCTTTTGTTTCAAATGGACTTAGTAATATCCGTGGCACCAGGGGATAGTGGTACCCCCCCTCCCCCGGGTTCCTACCCATCCCCCTATTCCTAGCCCTCCCCCATTCTCCTCCTCCTACTAGTCTGATGACGGGCTGGTGACTTCTGAGTGAAACATCCAAAGGGGCACTGTCCCGTTTCCCTGTCCCTTGCTTTACACTTAATGGAAAAAGAGGCTAAAATGTTCTTCTCTATAAGCTCGGTCTTGAGGAAGGACTGCCAACTCATTTCTATGATGCCTTTTTAAAATTTTAATTTTATTTAAAAGTGACATCCTTAGGATTATAAAGTTTCCTTTGATAGTTTTGCAAAGTTCTTTCCATCTCTCCCCCCGCCCCCTACCCTCAATTCCCCTGAGGGACTCATACATACATCGTCATTGGTTCTCTGTGCTTCACGCCTATGTGAACACTGACCGTCCGGAAGCTGGCCCTTTGCGTCCGTCAGGAAGTGTGTCTGGTTCGGGCATCGGGGTATACCTTTTCCTGCGTCCTTTTGCCAACAACCTCTGTTTCAGCCTCGGTCTCTCCTTGGGTTCTCAGCCAAAAGGGGCTTTCATGATTGCCTGGATGTCTGGGCTCAGCCCGATTCAGTCCATTATTGTCCCTAGCGTACATCAGGGCAGCAGTGGAAATTTTAAGTGAAAAGCATATTGGTGTCAGTCCAAGCAGCCATTACAAGCAGCATCAGGATTTATAATGAGGCTCCTTGGGAGAGTCAAATCCTTCAGGCTGCTGAAAACATAAGCCCTCGCCCAACATGCAACATACAGACAGGGCAAATGGAAACAAAACGAAGTACCTATTTTCACAGTAAATGATATTGAGGTCCATATTTACTCGCGTGACGAACATATGGCAGTCAATTCTGACTTCGTTGATTGTAGGGGGAGGCAAGGCATGAGCCACCACCACGAGGCCCATGATTTGGCTGGGGACGGTCCTCCCATGGGACAGGGACACTCTGAGGCGTAGCCGGCCTGTGATGTGAATCACCTGGAAAAGAACAGGAAGTACACAACACAGCGGTGAAATTCACATCCCAGATGGAACAGTATTGCTTCTGAGAAATACTGCACAGATGTGTCTATCTTGGAACGAGCCGCATGTGCTGGTCGCATGTTCTGTAACCATAATGGCTGCCGGGTGGCCCCTGTGTCTCCCAAGCCAAGAGACCAAAGAGAGTATAGCTCACATTACACTGGGCGCACTTCTCTAGACAGCACACTTACTGGCTCAGCCTACTTTTCAGCATCTCCCCCGCCCCGCACGTGGGGAAGTTCATAACCAGTTAAAATGTGAGACCCGAGCTGCGAAAGTCAATGTTTGCTGAATCAGTCCTCGTCAACGGGAGAGGTTTGTGTCTCTCCACGCTTGTGCCAAGTGGGATTACTCGAGCACCCCTTCCCCTGGTGCGTCCCTTCATTCAGGGCTTGATATTGCAAAAGGCCAGAGACTCCCGTGAATGAAGGATTCCGTCGCAAAGCTGTGACTGGGTTTTGTCAAACATAGCTATGACAGCATGTTGGGCGGCACCGGGCTACCATGGATGCAGTGACAGAGCGCGGTGGCCAGTGGGTCTTGCAGGCAGAGCTTTGTGGCCTGCGATTTGTGCCCCAACCCACACGGTAGTCAACATGGAACGAAGACTTGTT